TGATACAAATATTTGGCAGGGTAGGCCTTTGTGGTAGGATTTGAAGAATTCAGAAAGGCTCCTGGCCCATATATATCTTCCTTAATGGTCACAGTGCCTGAAACGCATACAAGAGACATTTCACTTGAACTTTCTCTTTTTGGTATAAAGCAACATCCAAATGCGAATGGCGTTCTCCAGAGGGAAAATAGTTAACTCATTGTCAGCTATTAATACTTGAGTCAGAACGGCATTGGAATCCTTCTTCTGTTCCTAGCTATATGCGTTTTGGCAGGTTGCTGTAATTCTCTCTGGGCCAGTTTTCCCTTCTGTAAAACTGGGGTTAATAGTAGATACTTGGGAAGATTAAATGAGATAATACATATAAAACATATAGTAAATGCTCAATGAACAGTAGCTGTTATTAGTCTTAGAGAGAGTAGGACTCCGAGGGAATATATTTGGGACTAGTAAATTTGGTTTGTCAGATACAAGGTGAAGTCTGGTATAGGGGGACTGCTCAGAGAAAAGGCCCTGGTGGAGTAGTGATATGGCCATGTAGTAGCATGGAAACTCTGGGGGCCTGGGTTTGGAAGGGGAGGGTGGAAAGAAGAAGAAGGACTGAAACAGGCTCAAACTATACTTACGTTAACTTCCCAGCAAGAAAAGTATAGTCTTACTCAGGATGGGATGCTTTGTGAGGTAGTGAGCTCTGACAGTGGGAGTGCTCAAGCAGATGCTGGATGCTAGCTACCTGTCAGGAATACTCTAGTCTACCCTAGGGCTCCTCAAACATATGTACATGCAGATCCCCTGAGGATCATATTAAAGACAGATTCCGAGTCAGTTAGTCTAAGTGGAACCTGTGACTCTGCGTTTCTAACCAGCTCCCTGATGATGCTGATGCTCCTGATCAACAGACCTCACTCTTGGTAGCAAGGCACTGTTATAGTTAGAAAATAACTTACAGTGAAATAGAGGAATATGGTTGGGGAAAGCCAGTGGGTTACCCAGGCAAGTCTCCATAGAGTGGAAGGATTTTGTTGCAGTCATGATCTACAATCTGGTTCTTACCTTTGTAAGCCTTGAAATTTGATTGGTAATATAACCAGAGACTGGGTTCCTGGGGACTGACTCACACTTAACCAAATTCACAAGAGACCAATATATAAGCCAGAATGCCAACTGATTAATTTATAATGAGAAATACAACTTCCAAGTGGACTAGATACCAGTGTTTGCTAATCAGTGCATTATCTCCCTGTAGGCATATTTACATGAGGAGCTAACTGATAATAAGTAGGGTTGCTTGGTGAGGATGAACTCAGAGCAAGGGGAGTTCATAGGATGATTTTAATGACTCACATTATCAAGCTATGGTAGTCTGATACCTCCATTCCACAATTGTCTAGAACTCCAGAATAGTTCTGGAGATATTGGCCTCCTCACTAGTCTCTTTTTCATCAGTCTTGTCCTCATACAATCCATATGATCTCTTTAAGTTCAAATCTGATCATACCATTCATTTGCTCCATTGACTTCAATAGAAATTCACAATTTTAAACTTATTATTACAAAATGTTTAAAATACTGTATAAAAAAAGTTGGAAAAAGAAAGTACAATGAGCACCCATATACCTACCATCTAGATTTATCACCTGTTGTCATCTTGCCATATTTGCTTTATGTATGTGTATATACATGTGCATGCATATTGAGTCCATACTATTTAATATAATTTTCTGGCCAGGCCAGTGGCTCACGCCTGTAATCCCAGGACTTTGGGAGGCCAAGGCAGGAGGATCACGAGGTCAGGAATTCGAGACCAGCCTGGCCAACATGGTGAAACACCATCTCTACTAAAAATACAAAAATTAGCTGGGCATGGTGGCACACACCTGTAATCCCAGCTACTTGGGAGGCTGAAGCAGGAGAATCGCTTGAACCTGGGAGGCAGAGGTTGCAGTGAGCCAAGATCATGCCATTGCACTCCAGCCTGGGCAACAAGAGCAAAACTCCGTCTCTTTTTTTTTGCAACTTTACATCCCAACCATACCAAACTACTGAATGCTAGTTCCCTGAATGTTCTTTGGAGTTCTCATATAATACACTCTTGCCTATGCCTGAAAATCCTTACTCTCTTTGCTTGGGTCACTCCATTTGTACTTAAAGACTCAGTCACACCCGTGTTGCCCTAGCACCTTATACTTTTCTCGGTCATAACATGTATTACACTGTACTGTTATTATCTCTCTGACTGTCTCACTAGACCATGAGCTCATTGAGGGCAAGGACTGTTTCTTTTGTCTCTCTACACCCCTGTCTCTCCCATGCTTTGCACTTAGCAGGTGTTCAGTAATCAGAAACTCAACTGCCTATCACGCAGTTCTATCTGGTTACATCATAGGCACCTCAAAATCAACACATCTAAAGTGAACTCATCTCTCCTTCTACCCATTCTATACATTTAAAACCCTCCTCCTATATTCCCTGATTGAATGTCATCTAGTCTTCCAAGTCAAAAACCTCAGAGTAATTTCTAACTCCTCCTCTTTCATCCCCCAAACCAAGTCCTGTTGATTCTACCTCCAAAGAACATTTCCATTCTGCCCACTTCTCTTCATGTCCACTACCTGTCTATCCAAGCCACCTTCATCTCTCACCTGTAGCACTGCCAGCCATCTTCTGTATGGGCTCCCTGCTGCTATTCTTATTCCCTCCAATCTATTATTCACAGAGAAGGATCTCTAAACTTCAGATCTGATTCTGTTACTCCCTGATTAAAACCTAATTATATTACTCCTTGTTTTTGGATAAAGTCTAAACTCCCTAGCTTTACCCAAAGGACTCTCAAGAACTGACCCTCATGTACCTCTCCAACACGATCTGTTACCACTGTCCCTCTGTTACTTTAGGCTCCAACCATTTTGCATTTACTGGGCCTATAGTAATTGCAGCTTCCTAACATTTCTTTTTCATATTTCAATGCCTTTCCTTGTGTTGTTTTCTGCCTAGAAAAGTTAACCCTCTCAAACTCAGCCCAGGTGTAACCTCCTCTGGGAAGCTTTTCCTTACTTCCCAGTCTGGGTTAGGTGCTTGTCTGTTATCCACTACTACCCTGTCATATCTCCATCATAGTGCTTACACTATATACATATGTCACTCTATACTGCACTTATCATCTTACTTGTCCTTCTCATCAAAACTAATTTATGAGCTTCTTGATAGGAGAGTTGATGTCTTATTTGATTTTATACCAAAATGCTCAGCCAATGGCTTATGGCAGATGTACAACAAATATTTGAGAAAGTAATGAATGGATAAACATTAATAAATGTCTCTCTGAACTTCATTTTTGTAGCTATAAAATATCTTCTTTCTTTTGAACACGTTGTCTCTTCAAAGTACAATATATTTGACTGTCATTCAGGTAATATTGATTGAATTTTGAATGCTCTTCACCAGCAAAATCAGACAATTTCTGGAATTGTACCATTTCTTAGAGGTGGTTGGTCCTACCCACTTTTCCCATAGGTAATTTTTATCTCAGAGATTACAATCAGTATTTGGGGGTACCATGCTATTGGTCTCATATACCCACTTTGACCTCTAAAGTGCCTTTCAATACCTAGAGTATATGTTTCACAAAATCGCCCATTTATTTATGTTCTAGGTGTTGTTTGGTATATGATGTTAATTTTCCTCTAGGTTTCTCTCAAGCCATAAGAGTATCAAGTACAGAATTGTTCCATGCTTAATCTTTGGAAATAACATTGATTAAGTAAACGCTGGGCCAGGGATTGAGGGGAGTAATTGATCAGAAATTTAACAAGTGTTGAGCTGCATAAAGTAGATTGTATTTCTTTGAACCGAAAAAGTGGCTAAAACTGAACATCCTGAACATCATTTTCTCTGATATTACCTCAAATTAACAACTTTAATATTATTTTAGAATTGTGTCCCTGAACCTGTTTAATAATTTCAATATTTAACATGTAATTTTTATATATTCCTAAGCATTGTTCTAAGTGCTTTATTACATGTATTGACTCATTTAATCATCTGAAAACTCTGTGAGGTAGGTGCCATTATTATCCCCCTTTTACAGACGATGAGGAAACCGAGTGAGGCACAGGGAGGTTCCCCAAGGTCAAAAGTTATTCATAACTATCAGACACCAGGTGTAATAATTCAGCTTAATTCAAGGCTCATTTGTTAACCACGTAGTAAATGTAATAGTTGACAGGGTAGACAAAAATTGTATACTTAAGCAAGGATAAATCATAATGTAATAGTGCCATGAGTGAATCGCCTAGGTGGGTCAGGCTCCTTTCAGTTAGTGGGAAATGGAGAAAGATTATGTAGTTAAGGTTATGAATAGCGCAGGAATATCCACTTGGGTAAGTCAGGTTTGTGAAAAATGCAGAAAAAAGGCTTGGTTCTGAGGTGTGTGAAAACAGTCATTCTTTTGTGAGGACTAAGATTACTTTTAGAAGAGGCATCTGATGCGGTGCATTAAACCTAGGGTAACGGTAAGGAAATACACATGTATGAGGCTTCTTAGGAGCAGGGAAAGAGAAAGGTGCCATTTGAAGTCAGTAAGAAAGGGTAACAACGCGCTTTTCCTGCCCTTCCCCCATCTAGAGGATCAGCAAATAGCCTGATTCTACTCAAATTCTTTCCCTACCCAAATTCCCTTGACTACAACTCAGACCTTTTGGATCTGCGCTTTTTAGAAGTACTGTACTTTCACATTCTGGCACCGTAAGCCCGAAACGTCCTTTAGGCAAATGATAGGAGGGAAAAATGTATTCTTGCAATTCAAAACCGACTCGAATCCTACTAGAAAGCTTTATGTTTGCGGACTTTATCGTTCCTCGCCTGTCCGTTTTTTATAAAACGACGCGACACACCTGGCCACACAGCCTCAGATCCTATTCTAACATCGTTCCATCCTGTTACCCTTTTAAGAGGCGGATCCCGCAGTGTCCTTTCCTCCCTCCCAGCCACCTCCACCCCCAGTCGACTGGGCGGAGCTTCACGCTAAAGCCCCAGAGCCCGACGCTGCAGCCGCGGTAGCGGAGATCGCTGGAGCTTCGAGGAGCTGCATCTGCGGCAACCTGTGTGCTGACGCTACGTGCCTCCTGGCTCCGACCTAGCTCGCAGCTCCCCAGTCTCACTCTATTCTTTCCCCACCTGGTGCGCACCTGCTCAAGGCCAGGGTCCTGCCAAGCGCTAGGAGGGCGCGTGCCAGGGGCACTAGGGAACTGCGGAGCGCGCGCCATGGGGCCGCCGCTTAGGGCCGGGGTCTCCTGCCGCGGTGGCTGCGGCTCTTCCAGATTGCTGGCGTGGTGCTTCCTGCTGGCCCTGAGTCCGCAGGCCCCCGGCTCCCGGGGGGCCGAAGCAGTGTGGACCGCGTACCTCAACGTGTCCTGGCGGGTTCCGCACACCGGAGTGAACCGTACGGTGTGGGAGCTGAGCGAGGAGGGCGTGTACGGCCAGGACTCGCCGCTGGAGCCTGTGTCTGGGGTCCTGGTACCGCCCGACGGGCCCGGGGCGCTCAACGCCTGTAACCCGCACACGAATTTCACGGTGCCCACGGTTTGGGGAAGCACCGTGCAAGTCTCTTGGTTGGCCCTCATCCAACGCGGCGGGGGCTGCACCTTCGCAGACAAGATTCATCTGGCTTATGAGAGAGGGGCGTCTGGAGCCGTCATCTTTAACTTCCCCGGGACCCGCAATGAGGTCATCCCCATGTCTCACCCGGGTGAGTGCAGCTACTAGATTGCACCCCTCCAGACCTCTGCCATGGCCAGTTTCTCTTATTTTCCTCATTGCCCTCCTCGCCCTATCCCCTTGCTCCCAAGGAAAGTGGGTGCCCTTTCTGTCCCCACGGAGTGGGGCAGGGTCCTCCCCGAATTCACCAGGCCTGGGGGTTGGGCAGAAAAAATCCTTCATTTGCCTCTCTGGTGGAAAAGGGTAAGACAAACCGGGTGCAGAGGCTGGCAAATCGAGGACTGTTTGAGCTCTTTGCGTTCCCTTTTCCTGGTTTTTCACAAGGGTGTCTAGCCTTGGATTAAGTGGCGGTGGGCATCAGGTCTTAAATGACCGAGGAGAAGATCACCTGGAAATCTCTTCCTCACTCTGCTGTTTAACAACCTCAGACTGGCAGCAGATTTTCCCCTCCTCTCCGTGTTTTTCTCTCCATGTTTCCTGGGTATCAAATACTAGATTGTGCTACTGTGTCCTGTTAACCTCATTGCAATTTTGGTGGAAACTTTGCTTAGTTCTTGGGTTCTTCTCTGCCCAGTGGTCTCAAGTCCCAAGTGACTGTTGGTATCAGTGCTTTTGTTTGCTCCTGAAAAATCTGATTTAGATTATTGAGTTGCAAAACAGGTGACTAACGTTCTTGAAAAAGAAGAGGTTTCTGCATGAGGATAGCAAAGGCCTAGACTTTGGAGAAAAAAAATAGTCCAGGTAGTTCTGAATTCTTGGAAATGGTGTGGGGTTACTATTTTTCCCCCTTTGGTTATCCTTCCAGAAACCTTCCTATTTGTGATTAGGTATCCATACCTTATGTATATAGTTATCCTAGACTCTAAAGGACAAAGGGGGAAAAATGGAGAAAAAGGAAGAGACACGTGTAATAGCAGTGTATCATAGTTTTTAAGAGCTGGGCCTCAAGTCAGAGCTTGGTTTAAATTCCTACTCTGTTGCTTACTAGTCCTGTGACCTTGGGCAACTTATTTGAAGTCTTAGAGTCTGGGTTCTCTCATCAGTCAAATGAGAATGAATAATAAGAAAACTTCTCCACAAGTTTACCTTGAGGATAAAATTAAATAATGCCTTAAAGAGTTTAGTGCAGTAAAGCACATCATCCACTCTCAGTAAGGGTTAGCTGATAGGATTAGCCTTCTGGGAGTCACTGGAAGAATGAAGCTTCTTATTTGACTACTGGAGGTTTTCTGTTTATCTTAAAACCTTATGACTGAACCTGCCTAGAGAGCACTTGTATTGAGTGGCTGGATGGCGTAACGGAAAGAACACTGAATTGGAACTCAGGAGATTTGAGTTCTTTTAGCCCCTTCTTTGCCTCTACCAACTTTGTAACCTTGTACAAGTTACTCACATGTCAAATGGTTGTATAGGCAGTGGCGGCCAAGTTAGAAGCGTGTACCAAAACAAAACAAAACTAGATCGCTTTCAGATCTAAAATGCTATGATTTTTAGATTTTATATTGATTAAAGGAGAAACTGTATCTCTCTTGGCCGATAATTCATTGATTAGAATGAATTAGTAGCTTTTAGAAGTTACTGAAAATCAATAATAAAGATGTAATAAAGTTTGTAGTCTTTATATTTCAGTTGACTGTCTAATAGCAAGGGTTTGACTTTGTCTTCTAATGAGATTCATTTGTATGAATGATTTGTAATTGAAGAGTATTTAATTACAGAGTCCTACTTAGACAATTTTCCTTTTACTTCTGTTAAGGGTATTTATCTGATAGTTTTAGGAGACAATAAAATTAACTTTTGCTGAGCTCCCACTATGTGCCAGGCACTCTACATACAAAGTATACATACTTATACTTTATTGAGAGGCAGTATGGTGTACTAAGAAAAACACAGGCATTTTAGTCAAGATTGGGAATAAAATTCTGGATTTACCACACAGTAACTTTGTGTCCTTGGTCGGATTATTTAACTTTACTGAGCCTTGGATACCCCATCTGTAAGATGGAGATAATATTTATGTTGCTGTGATTATTAAGGATAATATATATATATATACTACCCAGCTGATAATAGTCACTGAATGTTATAATAGGTTAATGCTAACAGGATGCAAAAAATTAATGTACAAATATATGATTGTGTAACTGTCAATTTGAAGACACGAATACACTGGGAATCTAATTATGGCTGTTGTGTTTCAGGATACCATATAGGAATAAAGCCCTAAATATTGATCACTAAATTATACTACATTCAGAAAAGCATTTTGATACTTTAAAAACAATATTATCTGAGATAAAGGCCATACCAAAGTTTGCCATCAAGCTAACTAGCCAAAACTAGCAAATTACTTGAGGTAAGGAATCACATTTCTCCTTGAACTCCTGGAAAAACTATTTTTCAATATAGGTGGAGAATCACTTTGCATATTATCCACATGTGTTATTGAATATTTGTTTGCAAAGTGTTATATTGTTTGCTTTACTCATTCTTCAAAGTAAGCCTAGGGTTTCCTTTTAATCTCTGGTCAAAAACTTATCTTGGATCATAGTGGCAGAGAGATAGGACTGAGATTTTAAGTATGGATTAATTCATTATATATTGCTGTGAATTACAAAGGGGCCACCAAATGTAGAAAAGCCTTCTGTATCTTCTTTGTTTACAAAATCTCTCTTCATTCACTGTCATATGGGACTGCACTTGAATTGTTTGCCCTTGGTTAGAGTTTGTGCTGAGTGTCTATACTCTCACCTAACTGATTTAGAACAGTAGCTTTAAAATTTTTGTTTAGGAGAAAGAAACTCCACTATATAAGAGCAATCAATTAGGAAAATGAGACTTTTATGTATACCAAAATTTTACGAAAGTTAATTGTAGCCTGGCATCAACTTATGCTGTTTATTTCTGTATTTTGTTTGCAGAGTATTCAGAAAATTCTGATTCGCACAGATAAATAATTGCAAATGACAGATGCTTATTGGCAGTTTGGCTTGCAATCTCTGGATATATTTCAGTCAAATCAGTGCAGAAACCTGAAAGGAAATTAGGAGAAAATTTTTATTCCAAAGTGTAATTACTATTCGAATTTCTTATCTTAAAAATGAAAATCAGATAAGAAGTGGCCAAATCTTAAAGTAAGCATTAAAACCATCTAAAATGTAAGATTGTCACAAGACACATTAAGCATGTTCTCACTATGGCACAACAAACTGTTCTGCTTTCGCCAGGCAGATGGGCCTGAGCCTTGCCTGGTGTCTAATTGAGCACAACCCACAGGTTGAAGAGGTGTGTATACTTGCTTGTACAATTTTCCTTGAGTCAACATTGTAGGCATGAATTTATTGAAAGACCGGTGCAGAACTACAACCTTCATAATTCATGAAACGTTTACACGAGCTTGAAACATATGCAAAGGGATGTCAGGAGAAGCATTATTCCTGAGGGCTGTAAAAAAAAAAAAAAAAAAAAAAAAAAAAAAAAGTGAATGAACCAAGCAATTTAATTAATGATTTGGGGGTCTTCAATGGGATACAGTTTGATATATAACACAGTTGCTTGTGTACATTGTTGAAAGTTAGTGGAACAGATTAGTTAAGAGGTTGGGCTCTGCCACTTAGTGTTTTTTAAATCTTGGCCAGTTATTTTACTTCTCTAAGTCTCAATTTTCTCCTATGTACGGCAGGCATAGTAGTAAACTTCCCTCCTAAGGTTGCTGGGATTCAATGAGATAATGCATATAAGGTGTTTAGCACAGTATCTGACATATAGGAAGCTACTATTATGTTTTAATCACAGTTAAGGTAAATATGCTTTAGAAAATGAAAGTTGAATCCTGTGTTTGTAGAACATAATTGGAAATGAACAGTCTAGAGTACTTCAGAGTCCACATTACCTGAAATTCTAATTTGATCCCTTGAGGTACGGAGGGTAGAATGAATTTTAACAGGAAAAATATCTTTTGGTCCTCCTATGTTTGTTGTACTTTTCTCAAATAACTGCTTCTCCCTCCTGCTACCAATCTTTTTCTGTTCACAGAGGACCTTGGAATAGTATGTTTGTACTACTTAATCACCACCCAGTCCCTTCTCAACCATTTTATATTTAAGTTTTATTCTATTTTTTCTAGAATGTTGACTTTGAAAATAAATCTTTTTTTTTTTTTTTTTTAGTGGAGAAACTCAAAAGGGATTGGCCAGTGATGATTAACCAATGTAAAATACTATTCCCAAAGCCATTTTCAGATGTAGCCTTCTTGGTATCTCTGCAGGACTGTATTTGATACTGTTGACTACTTCTTCAAAACTATCCCAAGTAGTGTCTTCCTTCCTTGCCTCTCTTTTGTTTCATTACTATTTTATTAATTCATGCATCTGACACTTCTCACTTGCATCCCAGACTCCTAGTACTCCTCCTCCAATAAATAGCTGCCACATCCTGTTGATTCTGGCACTTTAAACATTCTCACATATGTCTCCTTCTTCCTTGCTTTCAATACCCTGCTTTCAGTTCCAGTGTCTTCTCATGGGAAAAAATACTTAGCCTCTTGATTGGTCACCTTCCCTCCAGTAGTTTTTTTCCTAGTATGCAGTTCTTCCTCCATGCCAACAGAACACAGCTCTGATCACATATATGCTATTACTTATAAATTTTAGACTACATTTCTCAGCATGGCATATAAAACTCCTAGTAATCTGATCCCAAACTACATTCAAAGCTTTATATGCCTCTTCTTTCATGTTGGTCCCTAAACATTGTCTATTCTTTTCCACTAAGATTCGTTTGCTTCTGCTATTGCCGACAGACCTTTTTTTCTTAGCTCTGCTGCTCAAAAATTTACACATCCTTCAAAACACAACACAAATGCCTCCTCATCTTTGAAACTTTTCTTAATTCTTTCTTTTCCCATTCCCAGCACAGCCCACATCCAAAACAAAGTGTAGTGATCTCTTTTTGTTCAATAGCACTTCCTCTCTTATAGTACGTTCTGCATTTTGCGGGAAACTATTTGTTTACATATTTTACCTTCTACTG